TATGAAGGCAAAATGACTAAGGGGACAGGATCCTTGAGTAACTAACTCACTGTCCCCACAGTGTGAACGTAGCATCACTGACACAATCAGAAATTAGAGACATCATCCTGGGAATGGAGATATCAGCACCGTCACAGCAGCGGCAGCAGATAGCCGAGATTGAGAAGCAGACCAAGGAACAGTCCCAGCTGACTGCAACACAGACTCGCACTGTCAACAAACATGGTGATGAGATCATTACCTCCACCACCAGTAACTATGAGACCCAGACTTTCTCATCAAAGACTGAATGGAGGGTCAGGTAATGTGAAGAGCAAGAAGGCAGGGGTGAGCTGGGCATGGCACAAGCCTGTAATCCCCACACTCTGGGAAGCTAAGGCAGGAAGATCACAAGTTTGAGCCCAACCTGGGTGACTTAGCAAGAGCCTGTCTCAAAAAAAATAAGTCCTGGGGATCTATGCAGCTCATTGCAAAGGCCCTAGATTCAGTCCCCAGTACTGTGGCAGGGATGGAAAGGCCTAATGGCACTGCCAGAGGTGCTTGGAATGGAAGGTGCTAACATTCCTTACCTGTTTTTAGGGCCATATCTGCTGCCAACCTGCACCTTCGGACCAATCACATTTATGTTTCATCTGATGACATTAAGGAGACTGGTTATACCTATATCCTTCCCAAGAATGTGCTTAAGAAATTTATCTGCATATCTGACCTTCGTGCCCAAGTGAGTGTACTTAGCTGGGCCACATTATGGGCCCGTGTGTTATATGCTAAAACTCAGCTGGTGTTTCCTGGAACTTGACATGCTAGTTTCACGGTTCATGGGTAAATAATGACAAAAAGGGCCAGGAATTCAGCTCAGTGGTTCTGGCGCCTGCCTCGCAAGCACAAGGTCCCGAGTTCAATCTCTGGTACCAAAAAAAAAAAAAATCGGCCAGGGATTTAGCTCAGTGGTGCCACCGCCTGCCTCGCAAGTGCAAGGACCCAGTTTAATCCCTGGTATCAAAAAAATAATAATAATGACAAAAAGGTAGCCAGAACAGCAGGAGGCTTTGGTGTTGATGAGAAAGCAAAATGTATTATAAAGCTAGATTGGCTCAGAAGTTATTGGGAGAGAATAGTAAGGAATATATTCATGCTTGTTAATAAATGTGTTATATCAAGTCTGTGAGATTAAATACAATGAGACAGTTGGGGAAAGGCAGGACCCCATCTCTTACCGAATTTGGGTAAAAATCTGAATGTAAAATACTAAGCTGCAGGGTATTGATGATATATTGATGATCTCAATGTTGGGATAACCTCCTTAAAAAAAATAGAGGGGCTGGGGATTTGGCTCAGTGGTGTTGCCGTCTGCCTCGCAAGCGCCAGGTCCCAAGTTCAATCCCCGGTACCCAAAAGAAAGAGCTGGTGTGGTGGTACATGCCTGTAATTCCAGCACTTGGAAGGCTGAGGGAGGATGATCACCACAAGTTTGAGGCTATCCTGGGCTATATACAGAGTTCAAGACCAGCCTGAATGACATAGCAAGACTTTGTCTCAAAAACAAAAAACAGGAGCCAGGGATTTAGCTTAGTGGTTCCACCCCCTGCTCTGCAAGCGCAAGGACCCAAGTTTGATCCCCAGTACCAAAAAAAAAACAAAACATAAAACACAAAACCATGATCAAATAATAATTTGTAACAAAGGGTATTACAAAAGACAAACTAAAAATGAGAACGAATTATTTGTAATACCCTGAAATAATGGAATAGTGTCTAGAAGAGGGCATTTTCTGTCTATTCATCTGTCTATCTCTCTGTTTAGTAGAAGTAGGAATTTTCAAGTTAATTGTGTGTGTGTGGTACCAAAGATCACACTTGCAAGGCTGGCACAGCACCACTAAATCCCTGGCCCTCAAGTTAATTTTTAAAAGATAACTGTAGAAGCCAGGGGCAGTGGCACACACCTGTAATCCCAGCACTAGAGGTAATTTAGTGATACCCTGTTTTAAATTTTTAAAAAGGGCTGGGAATATAGCTCAGGGGTAAAGTGTCCCTAGGTTCAATCCCTAGTAGTAGAAAAAGTTAAAAAAATAATAATAATAGGGCCGGGGATTTAGCTCAGTGGTTCCACCTCCTGCCTTGCAAGCTCAAGGTCCCGAGTTGGAGCCCCAGAACCAAAAAATAAATAAAATTTTAAAAAATAATAATAATAACTGTAGAAGAATGAGGAAAGATTTAAGAAAAAATTTGGGAGTAAGTTTGAGGTTGTAGTTCAGTAGAACCTGTACGTACGTATTAGCATGCACAAGAACCTGGGTTCAATCCCCAGCACAGAGATGGGGGGGAGGACAGAAGGAAGGACAGACAGACAGGCACAAAGGAAGGTAGTTCAGAAAAGGAATTGTAAATGGCAAATTTATGACAAGATGCTCACCTTTAGTGATCAGGGATATGCAGCCACGCATGGTGGCACATGCCTATAATCCCAGCACTCAGAGGCTAAGGCAAGAGGATGGCTGTGAGTTTGAGGCCGATTTGGGTTACATAACAAGACCCTGCCTCAAAAATAACAACAGAGGCCAGGCATGGTTGGTGGCACATGCTTGTAATCCCAGCACTTGGGAGGCTGAGGTAGGAAGATTCCTGTGAGTTTGAGGCCAGCCTAGACTACAAAAAAAAAAGTAATCAAGGATTTTTATATTTTATAAAACACCGTGTTGTAGCAATCATTTTGGCAAATTTGAAGATTACTAGTATCCTATGGGAGTGACTTTATACGAAAGTTTTCTTTGTTGATAGCAATACAAAATTAGAATACTACCTAGTGCTGGTTTTCCAGGTGTGTATTCAGCTTTGAAAATTCATTGAGCTGTGTGCCTGCTTATGGATAGTGTACTCAGTAATTACCAAGTAGAGAGCTTGTGAGCAGTATGCTCTCCAGGACTCCACTCCGAGGCTCTCATAGAGGAAGTCTGAGATGAGGTCCATGTGCAGTATTTTGACCAAGCAACTCCTCCAGGTGATTCTGATGCAAGAAGTTCTGGCACATTTTAAGAAACTTGGTTTTTGAGGTTGGCTGGAAACACAAGCTGACAGCCCAGACTCTGGCCTGGTACTAAGAATAATAGCTTTGGTTCCTGACACACACCCTTTCCAGATTGCAGGATACCTGTATGGGGTGAGCCCACCAGATAACCCCCAGGTGAAGGAAATCCGCTGCATTGTGATGGTGCCTCAGTGGGGCACCCACCAGACTGTGCATCTGCCTGGCCAGCTGCCTCAGCATGAGTACCTCAAGGTGAGGGTGTGATAGAGCGTGGGAGTGTGGGAACCGAAGAATAGGCTTCCTGCCATCAGACGGGTGATGGGAAGGCAGGTGTCTTACTCTCACAGGAGAGGTTTCTGTCTGGAGATGGGATTCTGAACAGTTAATTCTTACTGCTCTTTGCCTGTAGGAGATGGAGCCCTTAGGTTGGATCCACACTCAGCCCAATGAGTCCCCCCAGCTGTCCCCCCAGGATGTCACAACCCACGCCAAGATCATGGCTGACAACCCATCTTGGGATGGTGAGAAGACCATTATCATCACTTGCAGGTGGGTTTGGGCTCCTTGGTAGGGAATACAGTTGGGCAGCCCCTGCAAGCTGGGAATGGGAATGATGGCATGAGCCTTCATCCTGTCCTCTCTCCCACAGCTTCACCCCAGGCTCCTGCACGCTGACAGCCTACAAGCTTACCCCCAGTGGTTATGAATGGGGCCGCCAGAACACAGACAAAGGTAACAACCCCAAGGGTTACCTCCCCTCACACTATGAGAGGGTCCAGATGCTGCTGTCAGACCGCTTCCTCGGCTTCTTCATGGTCCCTGCTCAGTCCTCGTGGAACTACAACTTCATGGGTAAGTGGGCTGTTGCAGGGAAGGGCACAGTATAGAAGTGGGGATGAGATAGGGGTAAGGTGAGCCATCACTCTTAGCATTTGGGACCTGATCCCTTGGAAAAGGGATTGGGGGCCTAGGTTGGGTAAGGCAGGTGGACCCTTGTTAACATTTGATGTTTCTTTCTTCTCTAAGGTGTCCGGCATGATCCCAATATGAAGTATGAATTGCAGCTGGCAAACCCCAAGGAGTTCTACCATGAAGTTCACAGACCCTCCCACTTTCTCAACTTTGCTCTCCTGCAAGAGGGCGAGGTCTACTCTGCAGACCGAGAGGACCTCTATGCCTAGTTGTTCTCCCCTCCTCCTGCTTGAGACCCCCAAAGGGTGGAGCCCATTTCCCTCACAGACAAGCTGGTGACATTCAGCAGCTTGGTCCCTTTCCCTCTTGTTTTGTGCTTGTGTTGATGACTTGTAATCCTGAACAAAATATAATAAATTTTGTATAAATAGGAGTTGGGGGTGATGGCCTAAATTCTGAATGTGGATGAGGCAGGGACAGGGTGGAGCAGTTGTTCACAGCAGGTGCTGGTCTCAGCCCTGAGAGGTTAAGGTGAACCCATATTCAGGCCTTTGGGGCCATATCTCTCCCTGACTGATAACGGAGGTGGGAATTGGCTTTCACACTCTTCCTCCTTGACCACATTTGTTAGTTTCTCTGCAAAATGCTTCCAAACCATCACCCCTTTTCACTGGATTTTGTGTGTGTGTGTGTGGTACCGGGGATCGAACTCAGGACCTTGCACTTGGGAGGCAGGCGGCAGCACCACTGAGCTAAATCCCCATCCCCCATCACCCCTTTTCAATATCACTTTGAGGCCGACGCTTGTGCTAGGAGCTCTGTGGTTTGTGCTGTGGCTGTAGGGCCAGCCTAGCCCCTTTATAAGGTTTCTGTGTCACTCCTGGTGGGGAAACAAGCATGTGAGCTGCTGTCTAGGCAGAGGGCTGTGGGATGAAGGTCACTCGCTGCTACTGAAATCTCATCTCTTACTGAAGTGCCCAGTGGCCAAGAACACCTCCTGACTCCAGGGGTGGAGCCTGGACCTCGGGCTGTGGGGAGGGCTTGCCTAGTGACCACTTACAGCCCTGGCCCTCAGCTCTTGGACACCTGCCTGGGAGTTGGTTGTCCAGTTTCCTGTGACCTTGGGGTGGGACAGGGCCTCGAGGGACTAGGGGACTGTCCCCCTTCCCAGGGCCTTCTCAGTCGCTCCTCCCTTGTCGCTGACACCCCGCCCCTTACAAGCCTAACCCTCCTGGGCCGGAATTGTTTGGCTTTTTTCTGCCCCAGTTGAGGGTAAGGGTGCCTTTGGCCTTTGGGAGAAATGGACCCCAGAAGGGCGGCGCCTGGGGCACTTGGCTGGGGTCCTCGAGTGGCCGCGGGGTCGGGGACGGCCGCAGAGCTCGTGTACCATCTAGCGGGGGCCCTGGGCGCGGAGCTGCAAGAGCTGGCGAGCCGCTTCGGGCCCGAGGCGACTGCCGGGCTGGTGCCGCTCGTGGTGCGGGCGCTGGAGCTCCTGGAAAAGGCGGCCGTGGGCCCCGCCCCGGACTCAGTAAGTCCCACGCTCCCCTCACTACCACCCGCGGGGCCAGTAGACCCTAAGCCAGATTCCGGACCTCCCCAGCTGCAGGTGTCCGCGCAGCAGGCCGAAGTGGAGCTAAGAAGGCTGAGGGAGGAGAATGAGCACCTACGCAGGGAGGCGCGCGCTGGGCCGCAGGGTGAGCGCGCGCCTCGCCAGCACCGGGCCAGGGTGGGCTGGGGGTCGGCCAAGGACTCGGCATCCGCGGGCCGCCGCTAAGGATGCCCCTTCCTCAGAGGAGCGCGCGCTGCTGCGGCAGCTCAAGGAGGTGACAGACCGACAGCGGGACGAGCTCCGGGCGCACGGCCGTGACCTGCAGGAACGCAGCCAGGAAATCGAGGCGGTGAGGGCCGGCGGCGGGCGCGGCCCGGGGCGGGGCTCTAATGGGCCCGGCGCCCCGCCCACCAGCTAGCCCCTCCGCCCCCAGTTGCAGGAGCAGCTACAGCGCCTCCTCCTGGTGAATGCGGAGCTGCACCGAAAGCTCGCCGCCGTGCAGGCCCAGCTGCGGGCTGCGCAGGAACGCGAGAGGGAGCGTGAGCTGCCGCGGGATGGGGCCCGCGAGCCGGCTGAAGAGCAGAAGCAGGAGCCCCAGCGGGCGCCCCCTAAAGACCTGGTGAGCCCCAGAGGGAGGAAGGTGGGATTCCTCTCTCCCAGAACCTGGCACTTGTTGGGCACTGGGCCCCGAGGGCCTCGCCAAGCGGTGGATCCACGAGAATTGAGAAGGCGGCACACGGGTTTGTGCTCCAGCCTCCGCAGCCCCCACGCAGCCGCAGCATTGCTCTGTCATCTACTACATGTAGCCTGCTTGTATCTCGAGTCTCCCTGCTGGGCACTTCCCCTACATTCCTGTGATGGCCCTAGGGTTTAGGCGAGGGCTATGGCTGTCCTTCCCCAGGTGGATGCCTCGCGGCAGCCAAGTCCCCCAACGGCAGAGGCAGGGCCGTGTAGCTTCAGCCGGGAGGAGCTGGAACAGATCCTTCAGGAGCGGAATGAACTCAAAACCAAGGTGTTCCTGCTCAAGGAAGAGTTGGCCTACTTCCAGCGGTGAGGGTCTGGGAAGGCCAGGAGCCTCCACTCGAATCTTTGCCTGGGCCTCAGGTCACCCCACCTCATTCTCTGAGTCATTGGTATTCCAGTGACATGCACCAGGCCCTGGGCACTGGAAGGGCATGAATGACATAGCTCTTGCCCTCCTGGGACTTCATCCTCACAGGAGAGGGGGCAATGCAAAGGGTCATAAGAGCAGCAGCAGCAATGGGGAGCCACTGAAGCAAAGGTCTGAGAGGTGTGACCACTATAGAGTGCTCCAGGTGTTGTTGGAACAAGGGTACTTGGGGAGTGCCACTGCTTCCTCCTTGTTCCTCCCCCTCTCTCTAGAGAGCTGCTCACAGACCACAGGGTCCCTGGGCTTCTGCTAGAAGCCATGAAGATAACTGTCAGGAAGCAGCGGAAGAAGATCAAGGCCAAGATGTTAGGAACAGCAGAGGAAGCAGAGAGCAGGTGAGATCCCACCTGAGCCAGCGCTCCCGCCCTCCCAGTTCTGAGATTGCCAACCCAGTGTGGCCACTTACTCCATCTCCTGAGCTAGAATGGTCTCCTCACTGAGCCTGCTGACCTAGACTCATCACTTCTTGGACCTATTCATCTGTCCTGGTTATCCCTGAGTCTGGTGCTTTAGTCATGTCACCTCTTTGGCCTACTGACTTTGGCCTGGTCACTCTCTGAGTCTGCTGTTTGGCCTGCTAACCTTCCCCCTGGACAACACTGCTCCCACTAACCCTGCCTGCTGCATATCCTGCTCAAGACACCTGCTAACACTGATTTTCCACATTCATTTTTCAGTTTCCTGATATGGCTGGGTCTGTTTGTTAGAGGGGCTGCAGCCATTTCAGGGGCCTGCTGTCTGCCAGGCTATAAAGTAAAAGCTTCAAGATGTCTTTCGTCTCCCCAGCGTCTCCTCCTCTACAGCCTGGGGGAGAAGGGCTGGGGCAGCAGGGCCTGTGTGTCCTCCCATGCTGTTCCTGAGCGCTGGATGAAGACTCAAATGAGCCAGACTTCTTTTGGGCCTTGGGACCTTGATACACAGCCCTTACGTCATCTCTCTTAGTGACGATGAGGATGGCTCATGGGCTCTGCTCTCCAGAGATAAGGAAGATGACCCCCCACCTCCTGAATCCAGAATCCAGAGTTTGTATGTTGAGGAAAGGGGAAGGAGAGGAGGGGGGTGAAGGAGGAACCCTACCTGGTTCTGCTCCATACCCCCTCTTCCACTCCACTGCCTCTCACCTTGCTGTCCTGAGCTCTAACACACCCTCCCTCCTGCTTCTCTGTCCCCATGATGTCACCATATTTTCTTTTTTTCCTCTCTATCCTCTTTCTCACCACTCCCTCCCCTCAGCCCACATCCTTGACTTCTCTGGCTTCCTGGCTCCAAGTACCTCTTGGCTTTCCCTCTAGCTTTGGCCTGTGGTATCGGAGTGAAGCAGAGGCCACTCAAGCTAAGACCAGCCGCACCTCTCCCAGTGCACTGGGGGAATAGGAGGTCCCCCAGCAACCTCACTTGGAGCCTGTTGGCAGCCCTCAAGCCCTGACTCCTGAGTCACCCTGCTCTGCGCTCAGGGAATATCCTGGTCTGAGGCCTTAGCTGCCCCAGAGGTGTGACGCTGGGATCTGGATGTGGGTGGATGTGACCTCAAATGAGGACAGGGCTTGCACCTTTGCAGCCTTCCCAGGGATTCCGCTCTGGCCCTAGCCTGGTGTGAGGGGGAGTTCAACCTGTCTCCCCTCCCTGACATGTCCGCACTGAGCCTCAGGGCCACTCTAAAGTTCCTTCCTGAGTTTGTGCCGATGGTCTGAGGAAAGTAATAAAACAGCTTCTAGAGCTGAGGATTTAACTCAGTGGCACTGTGCCTGAGTTTGATCCCTGGAACCAAATAAGTAAGTAAATAAATAAAAAGCTTCCCCTCAGTACCTAGCAACCGCTCCATGTCTGTCACTGGTCTGCGCCGCCTCCCAACCCTGACAGGTGCAGAGGCTAAGTTCTCCTCACAGGGCCCCCGTGGCTGGTCACTAGGTGGGGGGCTTCGCCCAGCTCTCACCTGGCTTTGAGAGTTTGGCCTAATGGAAGGTCACAGCTCCTCCGACCCTCAGTCCAGCCCTTTGCCTGCCCCACCACCACCACCTAAGGACCTCATCATCAGCCTTCCTTTCTCTCATTTCTGAGTGCCTGGCTTTCCCAGTGTCCATCAGTCTCAGGGAGGAGCCTCACAGCAGTCCAGCCCTTGGGCCTGGTTTCCTCAGGAAAAGCCTTGGGAGGAAATAGGGAGGGAGTTGGGAGCTGTGAGAGCCAGATTAACCCGGGCCCTCCCACTGCACTGGCCGCCATGGGGCTGGAGCTGCTGCTCCCACTGCTGCTGCTCTGGACTCAGAAGACCCAAGAGTCCGAGCTAGACCCCGAAGGGCTGGACCCAGAAGGCCAGAACGTCTGCAAGAGCAGCAGGTGGGTCCTATGGGACTCTGTTGGGGATTGTGACTAAACTAAATTTTGGGGTGGGGGTCAGGCTCTCATTATGTAGTCCAGGCTGGCCTTGAACTCATGATGTAGCCCAGGCTGGCCTGGAACTCACAGTAATTCTCCTGCCTCAGCCTCCAGAGTGCTGGGTTTACAGGCATGTGCTACCACACCTGGCAACTGAACTAAATTGAGGCATTTCAAGAATGAGGATATGGGAAAATCATGGGGTTAAAGGGAGGGGGATTTGAAGGGCACCCTGAGGGGTTAATGGAGTGTCAGAGCAGGTGATGAGGCCAGGAAAAGAGAGGGGACAAGCTGGGGACATGGGCTGTAATACTCTTGGGCTGTGACACCAGCGCTAAGTCTCCCTGGTAGGGCTGAGCAAATTCCCACACCTCAGCCAGAGGCAGTGATCTACCCTTCAGGGCTGGGCTACCCACACTGACCCCCCTTTTGCCCCACAGCCCCCTTGCAGAGCTCCTGTGCTGTCCAGGCTGGAGGCAGAAAGATCAAGAATGCACCATCCGTGAGTAGCCAAGGAAAAGAGTGCACTTAGCCCAGTGACAACCCTTCCTTCCTACCCTATTTCCCTCCCGAGGCCTTGAACCATCGTCCTATGACACACACACATCCCCGTCCTAAGTGGTCGGGTGACTCTTGAGGGAGCAGAGCCCTAGGACTGGGTGAGAATGGTAGGGGGGCCCCTTGCTCATGTGTGTCCCAGCTCTTTCAACCTGGTTGGTTTTTCAGCCATCTGTGAGGGGCCGGACGCCTGTAGGAAAGACGAGGTATGTGTGAAACCAGGCCTCTGTCGGTGCAAACCTGGATTCTTCGGGGCCCAGTGCAGCTCCCGTGAGTCTCAACCACAGGATGAAGTTGCTGGATGCCCAGCCGGAGTGGGGGAGGGCACAGCAACTGCAGAACACCCCAAATTCCCCAAGCTTCACTGAGGAAATTGAGGCCTAGAGACAGGAAATTATATGCTCTAGGGAGTTGCTCTGAATCATCAGGTTTTGCCCATATCCACGAAACCCTCTCCACCAGAGACTTTCACCTTCCTCTTTGACTTCAGAACAGATCCCTATGATAGGCCCTGCTATAACTGCAAAATGGTTGTATTTTTGGTCCCTGCCATGTGCACTTTGTGTGTGGGTGAAGGGTGGAAGGAGGCCCAGGTCTGGGCTGCCTGCCCTCTGTAGGAGGGAGATAAGAAAGGCTTTGGTGGGTCCACAGCCTGAGGGCAGGCTCTAGCAATCTGAGTTGGGACACTGGGGAAAATAAGGCTTTTCCTGTGACTCTGGTTGGCAGCATCCTACCTGAGACCCGGATGAACACTCATGGTGGGGGGGGCGGGGGTGTGTGTGTGTGACCTCTCTACAAGGAAGGAAGAGGGGCACAGATGAAGCCACACCCACCTCTGGGCACACCCCTTCCCATTTAGGATCTGTGTTCTGGAATGTGAAATGGGAGGCTGGCCCAAGGCTACGGCCCAAGGCTAGGAGTTTCTGTAGTTCAAGTCTGAGGCAGGAAATGAGCTGTGCCCCAGAAGGACAGGCTGCCAGATGTTTCAAGATCTGTCCCTGGCTCTCGGAGGGCAGGCTGGCACCCCTCTTCCTTGAGGAAGGGGCTGGGCAAGGACCTGTGCCCGGTCCTGAGCCTACTCTGTCCCCTCCAACCCCATAGCCTGCCCGGACCAGTACTGGGGCCCCGACTGCCGTGAGATCTGCTCCTGCCACCCACATGGCAAGTGTGACCCGGTCACAGGTGTGTGCCGGTGCCAAGCTGACCGGTGGGGCAGCAACTGTGAGTTCCAGTGCTCCTGCGGGACCCACGGACGTTGCGACCCCAAGACTGGCCTGTGCCACTGTGACCCGGGCTGGTGGTCGGACACATGTCGCCGCCGATGCAGGTGCAACCCTTTGGCACAGTGTGACGCGACCACGGGCACCTGCCTGTGTCCATCAGGCTGGTGGGGCGAGCGCTGCAACTTCAGGTGCTCCTGCCACAAGTCACCTTGCACACCAGACACAGGCCGCTGCAAATGCCTGCCTGGGTGGTGGGGGACTGACTGCAGGCAGCCATGCAGCTGCATCTATGGCTCCTGCCACGGCACTTCTGGCCAGTGCATTTGCAAGCTTGGCTTCCAGGGCACAAACTGCGATCTGCCCTGCACCCCTGGCTACTATGGGTTGCATTGCTTCCAAAGGTGAGCCAGCTGGGCTGGGGACAAGGGTGGACCAGGGTGCAAGAGGAGACTCAGGTGGAGGCAGGCAAAGGCAATGTATACCAGTATCAGGAAGAGCTGGGTGTGGAAGGAGAAGGGCAGGAGAAGAGGAAGGGAGACCCAATGCTCTTCCCCCAAAATATACAAGACAGAGAAGAAAGGAGAAAATCTTTGATGCCCTTAGGTCCACCCCTGCCCACCTCTTTTATCCACTTAGTTTTTAAAGGATTGCTAGGAGCAAGCCATATGCAGAACAAGGATTCATGTGAGTGACAAGAGAATGGCAAGATCCCTTTAAGACTTAATGGCCTGGCGGGGGGTGTAGCTCAGTGGCATTGTGCCTGTCCAGCAACGCCAAGATCTAGAAAAAAAATGTAAAACAAGACTCAGTGGCCTTTGCCAGGCATTGTAGCACATACCTGTAATCCCACCACTTGGGAGGCTGAGGCAGGAGTATCTCCATGAGTTCCAAGCCAGCCTGAACTACATAGTGAGACCATCTCAAAAAAAAAAAAAACATGAAGATTCAGTGGCCTTCTGACCTTCAAACACTGACAGGCTCCACACACAATAAGAAATTACATCCCCCCCCAAAAGAAATCACATCCTACCTAACACATGTTTCAAAAATTTCAATAGTTTATTTGCTCCAAATATCTAAACCATTATTTCAACATTTAATCAACATATAAATTATTATTTGGGGGGAGTTGTTTTGTTTTGTTTTGTTTTGGTACTGGGGATTGAACTCAGGACCTTGCAGTTGTGAGGCAGGCTCGGTACCACTTGAGCTAAATCCCTGGCAACATATAAATTATTAATGCTATATATAAGATACTATTTGAGCTGGGCATGGTGGCTCACGCCTATGGTCCCAGCACTCAGGAGGCTGAGGCAGGAGGATCACCGTGAGTTCAAAGCCAGCCTGGGCTGCATAGTGAGATCAAGGCCAGCTACATAGTGAGACCCTTTCTCCAAACAAACAAGGCCTGGGGATTTAGCTCAGTGGTGCCACACCTGCCTCGCGAGTGCAAGGTCCTAAGTTTGATCCCTGGTACCAAAAAAAAAAAAGATACTGTTTGAAATCCAGTGTATATTTGCACTTACAGTACATCTCAAGTTACATACTAAATTTTCATTAGAAAATGCACTGAAAAGATTTAGTAAATGAATCAAGTATTGACATTTAAATTTTGATTAATTTAATTTAAAACATATTTCCTCAGTCACATCACAGTTCTTCAGTAGTCAACATGTAACACATTTTCAGTGGCACCGCGCCTGCCTCACAACCACAAGGTCCTGAGTCGATCCCCAGTACCAAGAAAAAAAAAGACTTTAACATGTAACACATATTAATGAAAGTTGCTTGGTTTTGTGGGGTGTTTTTTTTTTATGACTTTGCTGTTACTTACAAAACTCTTGCATGCAGTACTATAATATATAATGAAACAAAACTACAGTACTGTACTGTACAGTACAATCAGCAAAAATTGCAGTACTGTATAAACAGTGTATACTGTACAAAAAAGACATGGAGGTTCTATAAACAAGACATACAGAACTACAAAAAATAAAGAGAGGTCATAAGTCCAAGTGCTGATCATAAGTTGGAACAGCATGCCTCAGTCCTAAGTCTGAACAGTCATTAAACAGGTTGTTAAAAGAGAAACATCTGCAGGGTGTGGTGGAGTGCTCAGGTAGTTCCAGCATTCAGGAGGCTGAGGCAGGAGGATCACTGTGAGTTCAAAGCCTGCCTGGGCTACACAGAGTAAAAAATTTAAAAAGAAGGACATCTGTACTGGGTTCCATCATTTTTTTTTTTTTTTGGTGCCAGAGATCGAACTCGAGTCCTTGTGCTTTCAAAGCAGGTGGCAGAACCACTGAGTTAAATCCCCAGCCTGGTTCCATCTTTTGAAGAACCATCTTTTTTTTTTTTTTTTTTGGTACCAGGTATCGAACTCAGATCCTTGCACTTTTGCAGCAGGCGGTGAAAGCACTGAGCTAAATCCCTGGCCCCTAAACCATCATTTTTTTTTTTTTTTTGGTACCAGGGATTGAACTCGGGTCCTTGCACTTGCGCAGCAGGCAGTGAAACCACTGAGCTAAATCCCCGGCCCAAAACCATCATTTTTTGATAGTCAAACCAAAGTTGAGCTCTCCACAGTTTCCATGTCTCTTTTTAGGCTCTTTCATGGTTCCCAAGATAAGTGCCACCGGGGTGGGTCTGGTGGTGCCTGAGGCTGAAATAAAGAACTCAATCCACCCTTTTAAAATAAGTTTGCAGAATCACTGACTCCCGTTGGAGAAAAAGAATTTTCAGAACACATCAGTAAAAGAGACATGAGAAGGATTTATTAGAGGGAGATACAAGGTGCACGCAAGAGTGGAGTGCAGGCACTTAGAGAAATGAGGCACCTTTTTTTGTTTTCTTTGAGACAGGGTCTCACTGTGCAGTTCAGACTGGCTTCACACTCACAGCAATCCCCCTATCTCAGCCTCCCAAGTACTGGACAAATTGTGGGGGTTTTTTGTTTGTGTGTGTGTGTGGGTGTGTGTGTGTGTGTGTGTGTGTGTGATGTGTGATCCTGGGGATTGAACCCAGGACCTTCACACTAAGCTACACCCTCAGCCCTTTCTGTTTTTTCATTCAGGTTGGGCTTGAACTTATGATCCTCCTGCCTCCATGAAATAAAAATTTAACAAGACAATACATACTTATCTTTATAATCAACACACTGTAATAGTTTTTGTTTTTCTAAATGCTGATCAGAGTCAATGTGGTGGCACATGCCTGTCATCCCAGCACTCTGGGAGGCCAAGTTAGGAGGATCACAAGTTTGAGCCCAGCCTGGGCAACTTTGCAATTTAGCAATTTGACCCTGTCTCAAAATAAAAATGGCTAGGGAATGTAGCTCAGTGCAAAAGAACCTGGATTTGACCTCCAGTACCACAAAACTAGATAGATAAATAGATAGATAGATAGATAAATGCTGGTTAAGATCAGCTAAATTGATTTTTTGGTACCGGGGATCAAACTTGGGACCTTGCGCTTGTGCGGCAGGCGGCAGAACCACTGAGCTAAATCCCCAGCAAAATTGATTTTTTATAATCTCCTCCCTTCTCTGCTAATGAATCTCACCCAAGTTACTATTAAATGCTAATGGGAAATTAAAATGAGGTAAATGTGAAGTTATAGTGATAAAAACATTTTATATATATATATGGTTTTTGTTTTTTTTAAGAATTGGGATCGCAAGCGCAAGGACTAGAGTTCAATCTCCGGCACCAAAAAAAAA